ATTCATCGGATACATACGAAAACAAGAAACACTTGTATTTGGTGATAAGTTGAAACAGGGATTTTGAAATAAACTAGAAGCCCAGTGCACGAAATTCGTGCACTGGGGGGAGGGGGGGGTGTCCCTCAGCCCGGCCTGCGCCCTCTCCCAGTCCAGGACCCCACTGGCCTAAGCCAGCAGTCAGACATCTCTCTCACAGTCCTGGGCTCTTGCAGTCCGGAATCCCTCACTCCTTACCACCCGCCTGCAGCGGAGGCAGGAGAGGCTCCTGTCACTGCCGCTGCACTCACCAGCTGTGAGCCAGGCTTCTGGCTGAGTGGCACTCCCCTTGTGGGAGCGCACTGACCACCAGGGGGCAGATCCTGCATTGAGCTTCTGCCTCCTGGTGGTCAGTTAGCATCATAGCAACCGATCATTCCACTGTTGGGTCAATTTGCATATTAGGGTTTTATTATAGAGGATACTCAAATGAAAAATATTGTAAGTGCCCTGCCAATAAAAGGTAACTATTTGGAGAAGAAATTAAACATTTATTAGCAGTGCAAAAATGACTAGTTGGCTATTGGAAAGTATAATATCTAAACATGTTACCAAATGCCATGGCAGAAACTGTTATAGACTTTCTTACAGAGAAGCATTTTACAGTCAAAATACCCCTGCCTCTGTATATTCCCCACAAAAGACTAGCGAGACTTTTAGGGTATTGAGAAACTGTTATTTCATTTATAAAATGTTCAGAATTTTGAAGGGAAAACATCCCCCCACCCCATTACTTTGTAGGATGAAATAAAGACAATTCGTGGGATGACTTACATATTAATGTTGATATTCAAGCTTCTCAGAATCTCCTGGGGGCCACTCATGAGAGCAGAGGTGCCAGGAATGGTGAGAGTTGCAGTGGAGGTGCAGACAGTGTTCCATGGGAGCCAGAGCCTGGAGCAGCTACTGCTGTCGGTGGGGTCTGGGATGCCCTTCCCAGAAGGCATTTTTAATATTGGACCCTTCCTCCTGCATCAGGGTCTTGGCTACTAATCCTTAGTTTGTAATCCCCCCAAGTTGTGTCAACATCTTAGACTCCTCTGAGTGTGGTCATAGTTCTGCCGCCCCAGTTGATGCCCAGCTCTACCCAGTCTCCGTTCAGGCCTCCATCTTTGCTCTCTGTTTCTCTCTCTGACTCTTGCTTGTTCAGGCCTCGGTCTTTGCTCAAGCTTCACCCTCCTCCCTACCAGTTCTCTTCACACCCTGTACCTCTTTCTGAAACCTCATCCCCCCCACCTTCCCTAATCACTTTATTTCCCCTTTCTCTAAATTCTTAGGGTTTCTACAATCTGTCCTATTGTGAGGAAACCAGTGTTAACCATATTTAAGGTTTGTTCTCTTTGGAATATATTTTAATGTTTTAGAAGGGGGGAAAGGTAGGATGCCTTACAAAGACAAGGATTTAAATAGAAGTATGGCAGGCCACACAGTCTGGTTACAGTGCAATCATTTTGGACAATAATGCTGTAAAAGATGATGGTCTACTGAGTAAAGGTTGTAAGACATTAGAGCCTTTATTGTTGTAACGGCTCAGAGTCTCATGGAGAGCCACCAAGACCCTCATTAGAAGAGGCACTCGCTACCACTCTTCGTTCTCTAAGAAGAAAGCAAAGAAGGGAAGACATGTTCTGAAGCATAAGAAGTGCTTGTAGTTAGTGTGAGATAGCAGGACCCGGGGCAGAAATGACACCAGCCAAATGCATTTCTTTAGAGTTTGCTGAAGGTTACATGTCTATCTTTATCCCTTATACAGAATAATAAGCTAATTGATTGTTTAGTAAGAAAGCAATATTTTTACAGTTAGGTAATGAATTAGGAGGCAAAGGCCTAATTCCTAGTCTTGATTCTAGGTCTAGATGAGCAAATCATTAACTCCTCCGAGTTTTAATGTTTTTTACCTATGAAATGGGAATAATATCCACCCACTTACAGACACTCTAGGTAAAAACACAAGGAAACTGTTCCTTAAAATATGAAGTAGTAATTATGCTGCATTGTGGCTGGCCTGGTCTGGTCAATAAGGGTGCAATGCATTGTGAATAAGAACAGCTCAAAATCTCTGTCCCCATGGAGTTCATGCACTGACTGGTTTAACTGCCAGGTCACATTCACATAGTTTCCTTTTTTCACTCTGCTCACTTATCCCCCTCTCTGTCTCTCTCTGTCTCTCTCTCTCAATAAATGTTTGCTGAATAACTGTATTAATCTAGGGGTGATTACAAGTGGATCAAGTCTACAGCTTAACTATTGGGGCTCGTGATGGAACACAAATAAGGAAAAATATAAGGAAGCAAAATTCCAGACAAGAATTTGCTGCAAACTAGCTTTGGGACTATAAAAAATAGCCTTGCCCTCATAGCCTCCTCCATAAATGAGCGGATTGCATGATCTCTAAGGCACCTTTCAGCTTGAAAAGGTGCAGTTTTTTTTACTCTTGCAGGGCTCACCCCCCTCTTGGTGACAGCTGGCACGGTGCCTGAGAACTCTCCAGCTCTCGGGACATGCTTTGCAAATTCCAACAAATTAGACGATGGCAAAAAGTCACCATTTATGCTCCAGAGCATGATTACATGCCATTTTCTGCCATTTTCTTATTATCTCAATAGTTTCCCCTCTAGATTGCACATTGCTTCAAGGCAGGAATCAAGAAGTGCAGAATATATGTTATTGTCTGGAGCAGGCAAAACTCTTTTGGCATCAGAAACCTAAATTTGCATTTAAACATTCTAAAAGTATTCCTATCCCCCCTGGGGTAAGTCAAATTGTGCCTCTGCTGATTCATATGGTTTACTTATTACCTTGACCAAGTAACCCCTTTTTCATAGAACATAGATCATAAAAGTATAAATTTTAGTTCAGCCCTCATCAGAATGATTTGTTCATTCCAGATTAATGAAGTTTTGTTATCTTGTACAACAAGAGAGGGACAATCTTGCAAATATTAGATCTTCACATGCATTGCAGGTAAATCTAGCCTCAGTATTGCAGTATCAGAGCCAACAGTAAATACCTAACATTTCCAAGAGCCTAGTTTTACTGTCATGGGGACAAAATCCAGTTGCAAGGAGGTGGGGACAGTGCGGAAGTGTCAAGTGTTGTTGGCACACATTCTCAACCAGACTGCCTGCATTTGAATCCAAGCTCTGCTACGTACCAGTGGATCGCCCTGGCCAAGTCACTCAACCTCTCCGTGCCTCAGTTTTCCCATCTGTCCAGAGGAGATGAACATAGTACCAACCTGAAAGAATAAAAGAAATTACTATTTGTTAAATATTTAGAACAGTGCCTGGAAAAAAGAAAGTACTTTATAATTTGGATTATTATTTAGGAGGGAGTTGAGGGGAGAGGAAACAGGAAGAGCAGATGTGTCACGTAGAGAAGCTGGTAGTAAAGGAAGGCGAGGAATTGGGCCACACTTTCGGGAAGGGGAAGAATAAAGCAGTCAAGCACAGGTGTTTCTGTGTATTTCACTTCCCAAGATAAGGAGGCGTGTGACTATTTGAAGGTGGATGGAATGGAGCCAACTAACAGAAAGGCAGGTGAGGGAAGGGATAGCTGTGGGGGCAGGATGATCTGTAATAAGGGCACCGGTAATTCGAGGTGTTAGGAGGTAAGTACTTATTGAATAGTTTTCTCTGTATTCCTCAGGAATCCAGCAAGCCTATCTAATATGTTACAAATTTGGCTTTGAAATTCGGAATAGACCGCTACACCCCTCAGCTGTTCAGTAGATGGGGAGAAATTAGCTGATGTGGGGCGAGCCGAAGGAACTCTGCTAATGAGTAGCTACAATCTGTGTTGCACCTGGGTCATCCTGGAAGAAACCTCACAGCTAAACCAGCACAGTGGTCACCAGACGGGGCAGAGTGGCTTTAGGAACACAGGCATCAGACATTCTCAGCCAAACCACAGACAGCCTAGCAGCCACCAAGCCATGGCCATAGGCCAAACAACTGGGCTGTGTTCAGATGCAGTAGTGTGACCACTCATATTTCAATCCTTTTCCCACTATTGCCACAGGAAAATAATTCGGTCCAAAAGTCAAGTTCAAAACAACAAAAGCTTCAATTTTCATAGAAACGTAGGTTTATTTCGATAGAGACATGCTGAATACAAAGGACTGAAATAAATGAGTAATCGTTAACATAAAATAATAGAACCTTTTAATAAAAATTAATATTTGTCCTTGAACATTAACTTACCAGACACTGAATAACTGAACAAATAAGCATAATACAAATAAACCTATTTTTCTTGTTCTCCGAAAGTGAAATATTTCCTGTTGCGCACACCAAACAACCCAAGACTAATGACGTGGCAGTCGGCTGCTGAAATATTCGCTGCTAGTATTAGTGGAGAGAAATGGTGCGCCTGCGCGTAGGGCGCCTAAAGGAAATGAATGTAACACGGTCATAGTAATCAGTCATTAGCAAACATTGTAGTTCATTATTAATAATTATGTATAACAGGACATTGTAAAAATTAAGTTATGAAATTTTATTAAAACGTTTCTTACATGCCGTTGTATTGGCTGGGCTGCAAAAATATTCGTTGTGGGCCTCATGCAGCCTGAGTGCCGAAAGTTTGCTTGCTCTACAGCAGTGGTTCTCAACCTTGGCTGCACATTAGAATCACCTGGGAATCTTTTTAAAATCCTGATTTCTGGCCTCATCCTCCGGAAATTCTGTTTCTTTGTTACTAATGTTGTGGCCTCACTGCTCTAACCGGTTTGGCTCAGTGGATAGAGCATTGGCCTGCGGACTCAAGGGTCCCAGGTTTGATCCCAGTCAAGGGCATGTACCTTGGTTGTGGGCACATCCCCAGTAGGGAGCGTGCAGGTGGCAGCTGATCGATGTTTCTAACTCTCTATCCCTCTCCCTTCCTCTCTGTAAAAAAATCAATAAAAATATATTTAAAAAAAAAAAAGAATTCTGTCCACTGACATCTCTGTCTGTTTACAGATCAGGAACCACAAAAACAAGTATGCGTCCAGCTCCAGCTCCTTACCTCACCAGGGCTCCTCAACATCGATGTGGAGTGACCATTTGGAAAGGTGAGATCAGAAACCGCCTGGATTTACAGCACAGACGCCCCCACCTCCTTGCTCTGACCCGAGTTTGTGTTAGAAAGGAGAGTAGCTCTAAGAATAAAACGGAAGTTAAGCACACTTCTCTGATGAAGGAGGACCAGATTCCTTAGAGGAGCTGTTGTTATTCACTTAGATTTCCTTCAACTGAGAACTTTCTGAAACTGGATCCAGTCTGATCATGTGACTGACCAATTTTCATGCCCCAAAAGAGCCTGCATGTCACTGATGTTTCATAGTAAAAATAGTTTTGGAGAGTATTTTAAGTCTAAGCTACCCCAGTTTTAATTAGAGCAGGACTCAGTGAATTCCCCATATGGTTAGTACACTCTTGCTTGCCCTTCTGATTAGATCTGTCTTGTATAAAGCATGTAATTCAATAAACCCTCCAGAAAACAGAACATAATACCTAATAGGATGCACAGTTGCTCATTTTAAATTCTGAGCACTTGACTTTCCTCCCTCAAACACCTCTTTTCAATATTTCTGTTGTTACCTGTAGGATTAATTGCATGAATAGCCTTCTGGCATTGTGGGATTGTTTTTGTTTTAATGAGATAATGTGAAAAGTTCCATACGTGACTTTTTGCATAAGTTGAAGTCTTCATTTTAATGAAAAGTTAGCATGTTCATTTTATTCATTTCCTGTCTAAGGCTGGGTACCATAACTCCTCTACTCAGTATAAGTTGTTATGGATGTGGACATTCAAGTCGCTCAGTTTCTATGGCCATTAGTTCTCTCACAGTTGGGGTAATTGAAAGACAATCACTTTTGTTCTTCAGAAGATTTAAGTGTCTTTTTCAATAGAGATATAGTATGTAACAATGCCTGAAAGATAAGAATAAGCTAATTGATCCTGAAACATAGCTTATAAGTCAGAAGGCCAATAACATTTTTCTCAACTCACCTTTATTGTCCTATATCCTTTCCCTAAATATGTACATATGATACACATAACCTAGCCCCGTTTTACTCTACACACAGATTCCCCTGGAAAAAAAATGAAGGGAATAGAAGGGAGACATCCAGCCTGGTTGGTGTGACTCAGTGACTGAGCATTGACCTATGAGGTTATGGTTCGATTCCCCATCAGGGCATATGACTGGGTTGAACCTCGATTCCCAGCATGGGGCATGCAAGAGGCAATCAACCAATGATGCGCTCTCATCATTGATGTTTCTATCTCTCTCTCTCCTTCTCCTTTCCTCTCTGAAATGAATAAAAATATATATTTTCAAAAAAGAATGGAAATATCCAACTCCCATCTCTTTATCGATAAATGTACTCTAATTTCATTTTTTATTTTTTAGAGTAAATCTTAATATACTTTCCCCTCATCATAAAAAAATAAGCGAGGCTATCTACAGAAACTTTGGAAAATAAAGGACATTAGGAAAAAAAGGCAGCTTATTAAACTTTACTTCCACTATTCAAGAAAACTCCACCATCATTTTAGTATATTTTTCTCTTATTTTTCCTCTGCACTTTTCTTGATTTTGTTTTACATATTTATGAAAATATTACATATGCATTATTGCATCCTATTATATTTCATTTAACATAAAATAAACATTCCCTAGATTATTTACAAATTACATTAAAGTAATTTTAATATTCATTAATAGTCTATTAAAAGGATATACTATAGCTTACTTAACCATAACCTGTGTTCAAATTGGCACCATGTTGAATAGACCATCATAACCCAAAATTAAAATGCAGAGGTTTTTAAAAATATATTTGGTTGCTGTTGTTTTTTACCATAAGTTTACTTTAAAGAATAAATAATATGCAAAATTATAATATTCTTTATTTTTTAATTTCTTTATTGATTAAGTTATTACATATGTGTCCTCATCCCCACATTACCCCCCATCCCCCCCACTCAGGCCCTCACCGCCCTGTTGTCTGTGTTCATTGGGCCTATATGTTTGCATATAAGTCCTTTGGTTAATATTCTTTAAAGATGCATATAGTCTGACTTCTTTCTAAAAGAATTCTAGAGATTTAAAATTTCTTCAGCAATGAATGAGAGTTTCTGCTTTGCTTTACCTTAACCAGCTCTGTATATCTTAAAACACACACACACACACACACACACACACACACACACACACACACACACTACTTTGTTGGTTTGAAAGGACAAAAATTGCAGATCATGTCTATTTCAATTTGCATTCCTCCTTATACATTTTTAGGGTATAGTTATATCCTGGTTAGGGTTATTTGTATGGTAAGATTATTTGACGGTTCGATGTGTCTATAATTGATATAGCTTCATGACTTAACTATTCTTCTGGATTACTTGGAAACCAGAAAAATTACTCAGAAAAAGCATATACTTAGCATAATTAAATAATCCAGAGGCTTAAGTGGTTCAAAATCCAGAGTTATTTAAATAGCTTTTATTTCAAAAGCACACATGTAATTACTTCAAACCAGAATGTTTTAATGTCTAAGACATTTATATTGCTTACTTCTATCTTACTCCTCCTAGGGGTGGGGGACATCTGGCCTGTGGGCCATATAAAAACCTATGAAAACATTTGGTCTGGCCCTGCATTAGGGGTGAGTTAATTAAATGTTTGATCAAACATAGCAGGCTAACTTTTAAGTTGATAATTTTGTATGGCCCATGAATGATGTTATAAATATCTCAATGGCCCTCAAAGAAAAAAGGCTCCCCACCCCTGCCTCACACCATAAAAATAAATAAATAAGTAAATAAATACGTAAATAAATAAATAAATAAATAAACCCTGTTTATGCTTATTACATCTTTCTCTCTCTATTCTAACAGATCATGAAAGAACAAAGATGGACTTTTTCTTACAATTCCTGCTTCCCCGAATTTGTGTTTTTCTTCCCACCTGAGAATTTTATATTTTGATTTGGATTGTTTCTTAATTTTCATCTTTTTTTACTTTAATTTTTTTTCTTGTCAGTAATACCCACTGAGAATAGGCTTATTCCTGCCTCACAACGTTAAATTGACTTCTTGAGCTGGATTTTGAATATGTATTTAAGAAATTGGGCAGGATTACATAGATGATGATTGGTGAAAAAGTGAAAAAAAAAGAAAAAAACATCTTCCAGGAGTTTGTCCCCAATTTCAAACCTTTACCTGAATTTCGACCCATGTAAACACCTTTACATTTTGTGGTTGTTTTGATTTTACAATATGAGTTTGAAAAATCAGTATACACTTTTGACAATGTAAAATCAACATATTGAGGGCAAAATTCAATTAGTAGGACATAAATTAAATGAGACAGAAAAGTTGTTAATTGAAGGCAGGACTATACTATGACAAAAGTTATTTATGCAAAATGTGTGATTAATGTTTTGGAGTTATGTCCTTCTGGGTTAAGCTTGGAACTCAAAGTCCCTACGTCAACATTCTGGTTATCTGCCACTTAGTGACTCTGGAATCAATTTAATTCTCATTTCTCTGTCTTTGAAGACTAAAAGGCATGATGAAGGGCTCTCTTGAAGTGTCATAGAAAACAATAATGAGGCTAGATGATTAACCATTGAGTAAAAGCAATAGACATCCAAGCACAGCCTTCAGTTCACTACTATTAATTCAGGATTTCTTAAAATTTATTCTCTGGTAGCATAAAAGGGGCAATATTAATAAGTAACACAGTTATCACATATCAAAATTTGTGACTTTTTATGAAAGGGAGAAACCCATTTTGTCTGAATTATAGAATTTTAAAATATACTTTGCATCATATAATATGATCTTGCCTTCCTATATGTTCAACCAGTCTTTTTATCTCTTGTCTTCCCTCTCCTCTCTTCCTCCTTTCCTTTCCTCTTCTCTTTAATTTAATTTATTGTGTCTCTTCTTTAGGAACTGTGCTAAGTAAGGGCCATGCTGTCACCTACAAGAACATTTGGGGAAGAGATGATAATATAGTATCAGGAGTCATGGGAGCCTATACTATGACTCCATCGTCATTTCTGCCAACTAAATTAAGCCAAAAATAGTTGAGTCATTTCTCTTAAATAGTTGAACCAGCTGTAAATTAGTTATAAACTGCAATTATTTTCATTCAAACCTGTATTTGAAATGGCTTTATATAACTATCACAAATCAGATGCTGTACACAATCCCTTGATTCAGATTTAACTCAACACATTTTATTGATCAAGTGGAATTATCCAATAATAAGAATGCTCATGCTTCTGTTACATCTATCTGTCCATCATTTATCTTTGTGGCTGTCTAGCTGTCATCTATTTATTATTTTATTTTTACAAAAGAGGGTAAAGTTTACAGAGGGCTTGTCCAATGTTGCATGACTAATATACGAAATCAAATCCAAGTTCAAGTATTTTGATTCCAGGTTGTCCCAATAGCTCAGCAAGATGTGAGATTTGCTACAATGATATTCCATTTATAAGACAATGTGATGTAGTAATATAAGCATGGGTTTTTGGAATCAAACTTGGATTTAAGTCTAGCTGTTCCATTCACTAGCTCTGTGACCTTGAGAAAGTTAATTAACCTCATGCAGTCTCAGTGACTCAATCTATAAACCAAAGCTAATAATACCTGTGAGATTACTGTGATAATGTATGTAAAGTGAGTGCAACACAAAAGGTACTCTGTAAGTGCTAACTGTGATTAATTCTTTATCCAGACTTATCTCCAACTATATGATATGAGTTCTCAATTTCAACTATAAACTGGCTTCTTTACTGTGTGGGTTTAAATGTCATGAACAGAATAAACTTCAGATCCCTGGCTCTTATTCTTGTTTATAATACCTCATGATTATTTTTGCCCATGCAAAACCTACTCATCTCTCACTTGTTCAAATCTCACCTTGTCCTTCAGCCTTGAATAATTTGAGTATCTTTGTTCTCCTCTTACCGCTATCCACGACTCTGAAGTCATATAGTGCTCATTTTGAAGAGTATTGTGTATTCCGTAAATATTTTCACTATGTATGTCTTTTTCCTGTGGCAAAATTGTATTTAGTGATGGTCAGGACCCTTTTCTCAGAATTTCTTTATAGCTCTCTTAGCACTAGTGCAGTACTTGACACCAAGAAAGATGCTATTTATTTGGTAAATTCTCAAAAAAAGGAACAACGTATGTACAAGATCAGCCATTGAAAATTTCATCAAATGTGATATAAAGCCCTTTGTTTCCATGTTTCCAACTTGGGCATTTCCATATTAAACTTTCTTGATTTAAGAATGCTACATCCAGGCAGAATAACCACAGGCAGATTGATATAATAATGTTTATTGAAGCTCTATATGTGAAAGTAATCAAGTAACAAAATGATTGGAAACATTTGAAAGAGAGTGACTATTTGGTAAAGATATTTCTGAATTAGGAATGATCTTTGTCCAATAAGTTTGAAACCTGACATAGAGACAGCATATGTCAGTATAAAATAGTTTCAATACTTCTTAATCCACAGAAAAATATCCATTTCATACTAATTCACCCAAAATAATAAGCTCTATAACATCAAATATTCTGAATCATGATTCAGTAACACAATTACTTATTTTTAACAAATGCTCTCATCTTTTTTTTCTTTATTGTCTTCAGTAAACACAGATCCTCATAACTATATAATACATTATAGTGAGGATAGAATTAAACCTCAAAATGAAATTAATTTCTTCAGAACTCTTTAAAAAATTACCTGTGAGAAATGGTGCTTGATCTAAATTTTATTGTAGTTCTAGTAATTACTGTAAAGCTCTATGGGATCCATATGTAAAACAAATATGCAGTATTAAGATGCTTTATAAGTGGACTGTACAGACCTGGCTCTTGACTACATATAATATATAGGTGTAATTTTGACCTATGACTTCTACCTTGGAAGAAATGAACTCCTGCCTACTCCTACCTCCAACTTATTTCAGAATCAGTGCTTTAATTCAGCACCACTGCAACCCAGTGTGAAACAAAACAAACAAATCCCAGCTGTGCTGCTCCCAAGAGAGGTTTTTCCAGAGTAATATGAAGAGGCATGCCAAGCCATGCCAAGATCTTAGACCCAGAGAGAGATCAAACAAACAACTAACTAACAAAAACGGTAAAAGTTAGGGTTAGAAGATTGAGCTTCCATCAGAAGCTATATTTGTCCAAATTCTCTCAAAGAAGGAAGAGAAAATTAGTTATTATCTTTTATATGTAAACTAGCGGCCCAGTGCCCCCCCCTGCCAGCCTGGTCACCCCCAACTACCCCCCCGCCAGCCTGGTTGCTCCCAACTGCTCCCCCCAACCAGCCTGGTCGCTCCTTCTGACCCTCCAGCCGACCTGGCAACCCCCACTACCCCCCTGCTGACCTGGTCGCCCCCAACTGCCCCCCACCGCCAGCCTGGTCTCCCCACGCAGCCTGCTGTTCAGTCATCTGTCTGGTTGTTTTGGTCCTGATGGCCCCTTGCTTTTCATATATTAGGACTATAGGCCCAATGCACGAAATTCCTGCAAGGGGCTTGGCCCTCACAGTCCCGGCTGCCACCACTCTCTGCGGGGCAATCAATTGCGGAGCACCCCCTCCCCCATTAATTGCCCTGCAGAGGGTGGGACAACCCTGGCCTCATGGCCCCGGCTGCCTCATGGCCCCGGCTGCCTCAAGGCCCCGTAGTCTCGCTCCTCGCCCACTGGTTGTTCTGGAAGGTCATTCCAGAAGGTTGTTCTGCCATCTGGTCTAATTAGCATATTAGCTCTTTATTATATAGGATATGTATTATGTGTCTAGTTAATAAGTGGACTTTGGTCTGTGAAATATATAAAAATTTAGACGAAGTTGAATGTATCCACAGTTTTACTGGTTAAAAGAATAACTTTTAAAAATTAAATAAATGATGAAATCCAGGTTATAAGGAACCATATATACTACTTAAGGGAACAAAATTTATCAACACCCTCAGTAGTTGGAAGCACATTCCAAAGGGATCTGCTATTAAGATGATTTTAATTATCGAGGTACCTTAAAGATCTGTAAAAAATATACCTTGGTTGATATACTTTGAGGTACTATGAATACTAAAATGTTTAATTGCTCTGTTTAAAACATTGTGCTCATATTTTCCATTAATTCAGGCTTTTTACTGAATTTTTTTGTTAATTCAAATTATCTCTAGGCTCATCCCATGAATAAAAGTGTTTTTCATTTCATTTTTGTCCTAAGGCTTTCTTTTGTTTTTATTTTCTGAAATGCTTTTTTATATAAAAATGATTTGTACAATGTGTATTTGAAGAGCTTTGTCACCATTGTTTTTTAATACTTAACCATATTGTAAGCTCCTTGTGGGCAGGACCCATGCTTTGTGTATATCTTGTACCTGTAGAGTCCAGCACAGTGCTAAGCACATAGAAAATGCTCAATAAAAACTTGATGGAAAGTGCAAGTGACCTGACTGCAGTCTCCGTGAGTGATGTGTAAGACGACTTGGCAGATACACTATACGTAAGGGTCAAGAGTTGGTTTTCTATCTATTTCTCCTCTTTGATGTTGTGCCATTTTGGTCAGCCTTTAAATTTGAGCATATAAGAGAGTCTTCTTAGACTCCTTGAAGAAAACAACTGTAAATATTTGTTGATTATGGGATGATTGCTCTTAGAAAAAAAAATAAAAGAGATAAATATATTCCTGTGTATAAAAGAATGTGTCTTTTAGTCAATGATGTCATTTCTTATCTTGGCATGGGAGCTGAATTTCAACCTTCCACCCACAGGTGTATGTAGCAGACAAAACTGAGAAAGAATGTCACAGCTACTGAGAGTGACCTTGAAAATTTCTATATTTAATCTCACTTAGCTTCCGTGTCCTTATTTATAAAAGAGAGTGAAGCCTACCTTATAGATTTGCTGCAAAGGATAAAGATGATATGTATGATGCTATTATTTTAAAACCACTATAAATTCCCTGAGGTAAAATATGATCCCCAAAAAAGTCATTTACAGAACGCCTCAATTATAAGTGGTTGGAATTTGGATCTGAGAGACAGGAATTATGCGTATGCCAAAGCAGCACATGGTATAAGAGCCCCAAGCAGTTTTACGACCAGTTCTTTGCAAATCTCCAACTATCCTTTAAAGGGTTAACTTGCATTATTATCAGCCAGCTGCTGAACCAATGGGATTTCCTCTGCAGGTGCCAGTAAGACTATGTCTGCCAAAATATGAGAAGGTGATTTTGAAATAAAACTTCCTAGAGCATAACCTACATGCAAGAGCTTGCAAAGTTAAAGAGGAAAAAGCCTGAGGCTAGAGCCCCCATTAATATTCAGAGCAGGAAGTGGGCTATGAGATAAGAAGGAGCTGAAAAGAAGGAGGAGAGTTGCCAGTGAAGGTTAGGTCATCTGAGCCTGTTTCAGGATGGTCTCTGGACTGAGTTGGACTACTGGGACCAGTTGGTATTAAGACTGTCTCCCAGAGAACCTGTTCATGAAATGAAGAGTGGGGGTTTTTGGTCGGTATAGGGCCAGCATATTAGGGTTACAGAACCCAGGGGTTGTGCTACTCTTAACTTATCACACAACTATACCATATTGCAAAACCTACCCATTGGTAAGTGGGAAAATGACAGATGCTAAAATGAAACTCGTGGAGATTTGATGCAGCATTTCCCAAACTTGCCTAATCATATTAATCGCACAACGTTTGTAAAAATAGAAAATCCTGGTATTTTTCCCTGGAGGTCATGAGCCAGAAAAAAATCTGGCAAGGGACCTGGGATTTTGTATTTCTTTTTTTTAATATTTTAATGATTTTTTACAGAGAGGAAGGGAGAGAGATAGAAAGTTAGAAACATCTATGAGAGAGAAACATCGATCAGCTGCCTCCTGCACACTCCCTACCAGGGATGTGCCCGTAACCAAGGTACATGCCCTTGACCAGAATCGAACCTGGGACCCTTTAGTCCGCAGGCTGACGCTCTATCCACCGAGCTAAACCAGCTAGGGCGGGATTTTGTATTCCTTAAAAACAAGTTCCTTCCAGGTGATTTGTTTCATCAGGGAGGCTTGACAACATTTATGTAGTGTAGTGGTTCTCAAAGTATCATGCCTGGACTGGCAACATTAGCATCACTTAGGAATAATTTTCAATAGGCAGAAATGCAAAATCTTTGGTCCCACTCTGGACCTTACTGAATCAGAAGCCCTGGAGCTGGAGCTGGAGCCCAGGAATCTATGTTTTAGATACTCTCCTGGTAATGCACACTAGAGCTTGAGAACTACATTTGTCAAATGTGGCCCAGAGAGCTGGAAGTTGGGAGTGTAGCTGCAGTGGAGGAAGTTCATCTAGTTCAGCAGTTCTCAACCTGCGGGTTGCAACCCCTTTGGGGGTCGAACGACCCTTTCACAGGGGTCACCTAAGACCATTGGAAAACACATATATAATTACATATTGTTTTGTGATTAATCACTATGCTTTAATCATGTTCAATTTGTAACAATGAAATTGGGGGTCACCACAACATGAGGAACTGTATTCAAGGGTTGAGGCATTAGGAAGGTTGAGAACCACTGATCTAGTTCCTATTCTCCTAGGACTAGAAAAGACATCACTCAATCCAGTAGCTGACTGCTGTTCTTCCCCTGACATCATTACCTCCATTTCTATTTTCTAAGGAGTAGCCTGAGTTTGTGGATCCCATTTTGTTTCCCAACTTAGCAGAATCCTAGCTTCTAGAGGTTCACAATCTTTGGCATTCATTGGCTTGTTAGGCAAGTCACATCATCTTACATAGTATTCTCTCCTGTCCAAATGTCCCCTTTTTATAAGAACACCAATCATGCTGGTTTAGGGGCCCACTCAACTCTAGTATGACCTCATCTTAATTCATTGCATCTGCAAAGACCCTGTTTTCAAATAAAGTTACAATGTGTGGTCCTGGGAGTTAGGAATTCAACATATTAATTTGGTTTGGGCTGAGGAACACAATTCAATTCATTACAGAAAGGTTGATTGATCTAGGGAGGAAGCCAAATCTAAACTCCAAAATCATAAGATCTAACATGATATAGCTTCTGGAATTTAACAGGTTTATGGACTGAATAAAAAATCTCAATGATGCACACAACCCTTGGCTCCAATTAAGAAAGATAACTCGAAAGTGGTCAGATTCCTAATGTTGAAATAGCTGCGAGTTTTTCCGACAAACAAATAAACAAACAGTACACATTTCATAAAGCAAGTGGTGGGGACGATAATCAAATTTGACTAAAACCAAATTGCTCTATTTATGTTGGGCAAGAGGTTTTAGGAATTCTTACACTTCCATTATGCACACAGGTTGATTTCACTGCTTTGAACACTCAGATTTCTTTTCTGGTAGTTTTTAAATCCCAGCAATAAACTCATCTAATGGCTGAAATCTGAAGGGACCCAGATGCTACCCATCTGAAAAAGGATGACTAAGGATTTTTAAAGTTATTTGAACAAGAGGGCATTCACGCAGGTATGTGATGGTACTCCTGAACACAGATGGTAGTGGTGGTCCAGTTATTGCCTTCTTGAGTCAGGCTTGCTTATTTGGGACTTTTATTTACAGTGTTGTGCCTATATGAAGACAAACTTACAAAAGAGCATAAGAATACCGTAAGTTGGGAAACCAAATATACAAAAGGGCATAAGCATCTGCTTTATCTGCTAATAAAAGTATCATCTTGGGTTTCAGGTCAACTGTCTCTCATAGTCCCTCTGATGTCCAGTCCAGTGAATGAAATCCTCTTGATTGTGTGTTACTTGGGTGCAGGAATCAGAGAAAAATGTGAATACGTACGGTGCAATTCCAGTTTGTGCTTTGGCGGCTTCCAAGGGCTCACAAAGAACAACGTTCAGTGTTTGTTTCTTGTGCATACATTGTTGATCTGATCCTGACTTCTAGGTTGTGCTAGTAAAATTCCATTGACTACTTTTTCATTTCATCACTGTATTTAAAGACTCCTCCCATACTTTATATAAAACACACACACACACAATGGTTGAAAAGCCATGTACTTATGTTTCTAGGAAGTGATGCAATTGTTTTTGGAAAAATAGTGAATGTTTCAACATATTTCTAAAGTTATTTTTGTATCAACACTCTTGCTGCATTTTCACAGTCACGGTGGGAGATTTTGCCAGCACCCAGTTATTTATTACTCATCTGGTACACAGTTGAACAAATCAATTTCTAGAAATTGTTTCACAATGAAACCTAAATGTAAATGCCTATAATTAGGGTATATCTCTATATGCTAATAATTATAGGAATTAGAGGGACTGCATTGATATGATCTATTTGATAACACTATGCACTTAATAATTTTACATTTTACATTCCAGACTCTGCAACTATATAAAAAATGAACCCTTTCCCATGAAGGAGATAGCTGCCCAAACTAGTAGAGGTCATACTAGTTCTCAGGTGAGGATGAAAATGGCTACCTGACATGGCATAAGCAGGAAAAGTTCAGCTAAGACCAATCCTAGACTAAGTATGAGGAAATTCTTTTGTCCCTTTGGTTTACATTAGATATATGGTTAGTTGTTCAAAGAACAAAAGTACAATTCCATTAGTGATGAGATCAGTGGTCCTAAAATATGTTTCTGTAATAATTCTACCCATAAATAAATGACAAAATCAAATAGAGCTAAACTCTTTCAAGCAGGAGGTTCTGCTTTGGGAATAAATGACCAATTTCTAGTGATGTTATAAGAAGTGTTATAAAAATTTTTCCCATCCCTTCTATACAAGGTGGGCAAAAGTAGGTTTGCAGTTGTTGATATGGAAAATAATAAATAAATAGCAATACAAGACTATACTCTTGTTCTGCAAATTCACAACTTGTAAACCTACTGTTGCCCCACCTTGTACTTACTGAGAAAAAGGACAAGGACAGAATAACTCCAAGACCTCCCAATCTCTGCTGCTAGAACACTATCAGGTCATTCAGAGAAAGATAGGTATCTCTACCTGATTTTAGAATTGTTTTTCTTAATAGGAATTTTTCTTTCCCTTCCTTTCTTCCTTCTTTCCCTCCTTGCCTCCCTCCCTCCTTTCTTCTCTGTTTCTCTTTCCTCCTATACTTATTCAGTGAATGAAATCCTCTTGGTTGTGTGTTACTTGGGTGCAGGAATCAGAGAAAAATGTGAATACATATGGTGCAAACGGGAAAGAGAAGTGACATTTTTAAAAATTTACAAAGAATGTCTACAATATTTAAACATATGCATTATGTTGGTGCCTTAGTCCTTTCACTTAAATCCTGTTAGAATGCAGCTATTTTAATGAGTGCTTTCATGAGTGAGACATGCTTTCCTGGGAGCGGCTGTGACAGAGGAGTGGGGAGAGGAGAGACAGCGTCAGGGTACACTGAGGGATGGACAGTGTCGAGGAAGAAGTGTGCAGGGAGAAAAGGGAA